TAGATAGATAGATAGATAGATAGATAGATAGATAGATAGATAGATAGATAGATAGATAGATAGATAGATAGATAGAGTGTGTGTGTGTGAGAGGGGGCGGGAATCTAAAGAGAGAGGAAATGTTGAGGACAGTGAGAGCGAGAGAGTAGTGACAGAGGGTGATGATGCGTGGAGAGCGAGGTAGAATGATGGGTGAATGCTCTGTAACGTGCACTGTTACACACTGGCGCTAGGATCATGTCTGCTTGTGGACTGGTTCCTATCGCTCGCCTACATTACCAGCGCTGAAGTCAAACGATTAAAAGGACTCGTATCGGACTACATCGATGATGGACTGGCATATGAAATTATTCGACGAACACCGACAGACGTTGAACGAGTCCAATTCGTGCGATTTTCTCGACCACCTGCTAATCCAGCAACAGAAGGGCAAGCTGATGGTGTCCGACGCAGATATCTGCTGTGTTTTGGATCATGACTTACAGAGCGCCGGAGTTGACACTGTCACTGCCAACACCAACTGGGGCATTCAGCTGCTCGTGCAGAATCCAGACGTCTAGAAGCGGCAGGGCGCCGACCACGAAGAATTGCCGCAACATGCCCTACTTGGAGGCTACGCTTTGGGAGATTCAGCGTGTAGGAATGATTCTCCCAATGCCTGGTATACGCGGTGCATTGTTTGATACCACCTTAGGAGGCTTTGACGTACCAAAGGATACTATTCATCTGATCAACCAGGCCAAGATGGCTATGAATCTCATTAATTTACCACAGCCGCAGAAGTTTAAAACAAGTTATGTTTTAAAATGGGAAATTAGTTTTCAATCCCATAGCGGTACATGTCTATTTGTGTTCTTTTATTGGCGTTTGGAACAAAAAAAAAAAAACTATGCGATAGTTGTATATATTACATGTGAATTTTCTAAGCAATTATTTCGATTAGTAAAACAATATCACAACTAATATAATTAATGGTAAAAACGTGTGTTATTAATTAAACATTTGCCACAGTCTGGAGGCAGAAAAATCACAACACTACTTTAAAAGTTGGTAGAAAATAATTAATTAAATTTTGTGTGTCGGTCATCAGAATATATCATCTCCACGTATGGCGGTACAAAGTATGGTGTACATCTCTGTATCCCTAAATACCCCCTTCAACAGCAGATGCCGTTACGTGCAGTCAACACTCAAAACTTTGTCGCTCAATCAAACTTCATATCACTTTGTTTCACCGGCTTAATCTTATTGCCTATGTTGATATTTAGCTCGTGAAGGTTTATATTTTTATTCAACAAATGTAGGATGGCATTTTAACCATGGTATCGGTGTCCGTGTCGCACGTAATGATGAAGATGAGATGTATCTATGATTATATGAACATATTCAAGAACGCACACAGGTATTCATAGCCACTATAGCTAACTATATTCCCATCTCGTATGTCACCTGAATGTATAGAAGAACGCTTATAATAATCGCCCCATTAGCTGATAAATTTGCACGTATCAGTCAACATATTTGTATAGTCGGCCTCGCCAGTCCGCCAGCACACTCGCAAGTCCGTAGCTGCACTGACAGTGCCTAGTAACACAGTACTAACAGTACACAGTACACAGTACACAGTACTGTACTACTAGTACTACACAGTACACAGTAACTAGTGCCTAGAGGAATCATCCCGTCTATATTTCCGTGCCGCGCGTCCTTGACGAGTATTTAATACAGCCCGGGGCAAAGGTAGCACTGTGTATAGACACTCCGCGCACTATTTGTTTGTGTTATTTGCACGTATGACTCGATATGTCCCAATATAGTAGATGAATATAGTATGGCGCAAAAGTAGCCCTGAATATAGACAGTCTGCTCACCTAGGAGAGTGTTCACAAGGCTCTAACGATGGCTGTTGTAAGTGTAGCAACGTGGCTCGCGCCTATGAACCTGGCTATCGTGGCTCTAACCCTGTTTGTTGGCTACTTGCTACTGAGACCAACCCGCTGGCGGGGTGCGAAATTTTTTTCCCCAATTGAGTTCCGGACCACAGCCAATCAGCGCACTCCATTCACTCGATTTCCTCGAAGCAACAATGTAAAATGAATACCACCTATCCCTAACCCTAACCCTAACCCTAACCCTAACACGTACCCGAAACCCTAACACCAACTATAATCCAACCATATATATACGAACTATATATTACAAAACACTATCTATGGTGGGTTCGGAACTCAAGTGGGGGAAAAAATTTCGCTGGCGGGGTAACCCACCGCCCGGCCCCAGCGGGTGGCCCGTCGTCGGCAGCATGTTTTTTTGTTTACGCTGTGTAACAGTGGAAAGTGTATATTCATTAAACACTTTGATTATAGAAAGCGCCAGTTTCCCCTTTTTATTCCTTTGTTTAATATTTAAACAAACTGATGGTCTGTCTGTTCTAGTCTTGGTCGAATCGTTTCATCACTATTAAACCTACGTAAGGTATCCTAACCTGCATATTGTTCGCCCTCTCTTCACGCAATCCATCGTTATACTGGTCTATTAATTAATCTAATAAAACAATGTATCATTTAATTAATTAGTACGATTCATGTCAGCTAAAAAACCCCGGGCCCTACGTACGGTACGACACTGATAACGATAACATGGCTAAAATGCTATTTTGTTGAACAGAAATATAAGCCTGTATGAGATAAATATCAACATAGGCATTAAGGAAAAGTCGGTGAATCAAAGCCATATGAAGTTTGATTGAGCGACAAAGCTTTGAATGTCGACTGCACGTAACGGCATCTGCTGTTGACGGAAGGTATTTAAGATACAGAGATGTACCAGATCTATACTTTGTACCGCCACATGTAGAGAAGGTATATTGTGATGGTCACCGCGCAAAAGTAGTGGTGTGATTTTTATACCTCTATATTATGGCAAATGTTTAATTGATAACACACGTTTTAACTATTAATTATATTAGTTGCGATATTGCTTTACCAATCTAAAAAAAAATTCGTAGAAAATTCACATGTAATATACACAATTATCGCATACTTTTTAGTTTGTTCCAAACGCCAATAAAAGAATACAAATAGATTTGTACCGTTTTGGAAAATCAACTAGTGTTTATTGCAAAATAATTCCCCATTTTAAAACATAACCTCTACATGATAACATGGAGAATGTGTTTGCTGTATGCTAAGGAGACAGGGTCGTTTGACTCTGTTAACCAACACCGATATACGTTACTCTGTTTTCAATGCCGAGGCGTTTATCGAGGGATAGCTCTGATCTTATAAGAAACTGGATACTGCACAAGACCGTCGGTTCTGCCGACAGGAAAAGCTATGACGCCCTCTGGCAGCTGGAATGTGAAACGCTGCAACAGGTTCGCCATGACAGTAAACAACTGGTCGCGAGCGAGTTGCATGCCGGGACATATTCGGAAGCCGTTGCCAAACAGCATCATCTTTTTATCCGGTGCCACGACGACTCCGTTCTCTTCCAGATACCTAGTCGGGTCAAACTTCTGCGGCTGTGGGAAATTGATGGGACTCATAGCCATCTTGGCGTGGTTGATCAGTAAAATGGTATCCTCAGGTATATCAAAGCCTCCTAAGGTGGTATCAGACAATGCACACGCACGCACTCACGCACGCGCGCACGCACACAAACACGCGTACATATAACATAATGATGGCACACATACACGCACATAAAACACAAACACTCCTCGCCCACACACCGTGGCTTATATCCGAAGCCGTATACAAATTGGTGCAGAGCTTTTACATGGAGGCCCTAAATACGTTTCTTATTCTGGTAAGATGTAAGCAAACTAGCACGAACCGACAACACAATATAATACCCACCCGCATGCAACAGGTGTCGACACCGGCAAGCGCAATACAACACAACCTACCTTCATGTATTCTTCTGATGTGTATGTATCCTACATCCCTCCTAGCAACAAAGCAGCTAAAGTTGGCTTCTTTCGCCGAAAATCACGTCTTTTGCACACTTATGGGTTACGCCTATCATGCAATCCACTGTTGAGCTAAGACACACTCTAGTAAACACAGTCATTCACTGCCGCCACTCGCTCGTACAAGTCATCAATCCATGCCAAGCTTCCCGCATTGGGTAATAACCATAGGCTATTATATGAGTGAGACAATGTCCCAGCGGGAACTCCCGACTGGCGTGTGTCTTTATCAATACAAATATGATAGCGTTGCTTCACTATAACAAGGATAGTTAATTCACGCTGTGTGTTTTTTTACACGGCTATAAACCAGTCAATCTCCACTAGGTGGTTATCCCGATGGCTTACGCACACACACGCACGCATACGCGTGCGTAATGTTCATTGAGGAAAATCCGATGCCAACTCGAGCTGCTGCTGCTACTGCTGCTGCCGCTGCTGCCGCTGTTGCGCGTGCACGCTGCTTGCTGCCTGATACCCGCTTTATTGAATGACTGCCGTTCGGGTTCCGCCAACCGCATTTGTGATGCGATTGGTGTCGCGGTCTATCGATTTTCACGAGCTAATATTACATAATGTCATTCTTAAGGGTACCGCTAAGTCGGCGTGAGTGGTATTGGCAGATTATTGGCAACTGTTCGTATACTATAGGCCCTATAGTGGTCGTATAGGGCCGGCCATGTATACTGTTGTTTCGTTGTCTCTCATGTTTGCACTGCATTATCGGGAAAGGTAATCAGCTTTACATTTGGCCTCAATACGGCCGTTAGGACCACGTACCGGATCGGGAAATTTGAATATGCATTCATCCTCATGTGGATTGTAATGAGCATTAGTAGATGAACACTAAAAGGTGCATCTATATGGACCATTGTTTTGATAGGTGATACTATAGTACACATCAGAGCGTAGCTTTACAATTTGGGGAGCAATCAATGTAGCGGTACAATAGGTTATTCAGTGTTCTATGGAGTGACTAGGAACTAGAAGCTCCTATGTTACTTGTATAGTGCTTCCCTAGCGACAAGCATGTCTAGCTGAATTATTGTACAGTTGGTCTGATATCTCCATTTTTAGTTCGCGCAGAAGTAGGAGTAGCATAGATGGAGCAGCTATTTCTACAGATGGTACAGGTCAAAAGATTCTCACAAATTAACGAGAAAGATCAAGCGCATAGAACTATATAATAAAACAATGGAAGCCGTTTTCTGATTTTAAACAAAGCAACAATGAGTGCTTGGTTTCATCAAACTTTCGATTATTAATTAGAATTGTAATACTTTGTTACACTTTAGATTATTTCGCGCGTTTATTCTCCCATTCTCACAATTCTTCCATACCTGAATGTAATATGAAAGAACACATATGCTCTCGCTGTACAATCAACTATCCGCTGGGCACTATAGTTGTTTGTTCTTCATGCGTTCCCGGTGAGTGACCTGCCAATATTATTATTCTAAGTTAAAGTAGAGTTGCCACTAATCGCTATGCCATTTTGAAAAAATAAAATGGCATTTGTCGCAATTATCGATCTAGTGATTATTCAAATACAGTCGTTCTGAATTATAGTAAGAACATATTGTCCTGAGATTGCGTTTCGTCATTTCTTGGTAAAACGCATTAGTCGTTTATATCACGCGCAAATAATTTTGGTTTTAGGCTTAGAACTATACCTTTGTGAGTTATGCCACAACATCGTGCACCCATCCTGTACCAGAAAACCACGCCGACATAAGATCACTAGCATATGTGAGTGGTGTAACAATCCGAACGCCACCGTCGCTTGCCCTCTGTGCGTGGTAGAAGGCCAAGGTAAACAATGTAAATGTCAAGAATCTATGTTCACAGACATAGTTGACGTTTATTAACTACCCAGCTGCTTTATCATTGATAACGCGCAAAATAGCTTTGCGATGTTCAATCTGTTTGTGTGTTAAACGTAAATCATATATATACATGCAATAATAATGTTGCATAACAGTACTTCGGTTGCTAATAGCTTTACCGTTACTCGATTTTATCACGTAAATACATTATTGAAGCCCTAAAAATAAAACTGCGCTCGATGGGTTTTTAGATCGATCTCAGTGGGCTCGATTTTGCGGGAAATGCAGTGACGATCTTCACATCGACCACAAAGAGATCCATAAAGATCATATTAAGCCTCTCGATTAACTCAGTGGCGCCATCCTGAGGACACATCGGAGTGCAAACGAACCTTTCGTGCGTGGCCGGCAGTGTAGCCAGAGCACGTAGATCATATATTATATACGTTATTATATATATATATTCTATACGTTATATATACGTCATATATTATATACGTTATTATATGATATACGTGCTCTTGTGTATGTAGATGGACAAGATTCTGTTGAAGGGAGTATTAGCGCATAGGGCGCTGGCAGTAGAATGAGGAAACATCAGGCAGGCGTGGTCGAATTCGTATTGAAGTTCAGTTAATTTTTATTAGAGCAGTGATTTCCAAATTAAGGGGGGAGCTTTGGGGAACGTCCATAAATTCCAAAAGGCGTAAAGCCATATAAGTACAAGACGTAATTTTAATGCATGACTGCTATAAAATTCAACGCTTAGAAGTCGAAAATACAATTTTGCTTCATGTTGAAGCTTTTTTGAACAAAAGAAAAACGGAACAAAATCAGATCAAGACAAAATCATATAAAACAATATTAATTTTAAATAAAATGTGAGACATTGTGGGTTAAATATTGCTCAGGAAGTGCTGCACAAAGTTGCATAGTGCTGCAGTTTTATGAGTGCACGATATAATTCTCAGTTCAGTTATGTTTTGTTTTATGATATTCATTAATATGATTGCTCATACTATATATAGATGATTTTTGTATATTTTGTATATAATATATATATATATTGTATATATTGTATCATGTAATACATAAATGATGCTAAAGTATGCCCATATAATGTTATGATGTGAAAACATATTTATATATATATTCAGCCGATACATGTAATATACAACATAATATATCTATATATCTATCTATGTATATAAAAAAATATGTAAAGGTGACCTGATTTCATGTTATTTATTTGTTACGGGAGATACAGTGCAGGGAATAAAATCGTCGTGCTATTTTGTCCTGAGTGACTGCACTGATCGAGTAGTCGCTTTTCAAGATTTCTCTCATTACTGCGCGTTGCATTGCCACGTACATTGCCATACCATGGCATTGGCAGTACATTTAGAAAAACATCGGTTACCTGTCAAATACTGATTTATTTTCAAAAGCTAGTGCGTAGTCAGTACAAAGTGCGCCAAAGATGCGTGCACTTAGCAAGAGTTAGCAAATCGACAGTTCGAAGTTTGCGCGTACTCGTGTAATCTTTCGTACTTTGGCGTCACATCGTCACAAACAATTTTGTAACGCGAGGATTTCATTGGACGAACCAGACACGTCATGGCCATCCGGGAGGTGACGTAATGCTAGGGCGAAGTGCAAGTGCGAAGTCCGTCTCGTCATTCGTAGTATAAAAGCACCAGCCTAACGTCTCTGAGCATTACATCAGCATTGAAGCACGCGAAAAGGTGAGCAACTTATTCTAGCTAGTTAGAAGTTCTGTTTCTATTTTGCTATTTCATATAATGGTAATGTTATTGCTAATGCCGGGCGTGTGTTGTCATTGAGTCGCTTGACGACAAGTAGTTTCTAGATCTATATTTAGAAAGTACACTACAGTGTGGCTTAGCTACGTCGATTGTCAGCTGTTCAAACCCGTTTCCACTTGGCCGCCCTCATTCAGTCATTGCAGTGTGGATACAGTGTGTGTGACAGCGCTGTAAACTGCGTGTTTAGGTAGCTTCCATGAACAGTCATGTCACGTATATTAGTGTATAAACTAGTGATAATATCATAATGTATGCTTTTTATAGTGACAGTGTATATATATCTGCCCTGTGATCATGTATGTCCTGTAGTGTGTATATATGGCATGCCCTGTATGTCCTCCGTAAATGCCACTTATTTATGTGTATGAATGTGCATTAAATTTACGTGACGACTAACATCGATTTAACTGTATCAAGATATGTTTTCTTTCGCATGAAGTCCTGAATATAATATTAATAATCTGTTAATGTAATAACTTCTCATTGCAGCCGAGTCTATAGACTGTCACATGTACCGGAAGCATCTAATGGAAGCCGAAAACATGACTAAGGAAACTGATGGAAACCAACAGGTGGTGGAGGAGGTGCACTTCCTGCAACGCGTCGCCAACTACCCCGTCGTGAGTGCCACCATCGGCCAGGTGACGGAGCTGTACGGCCGCACAAAGGAGAACGTGCCGCTGATGAAGACGACCTTGGATGCGGCGGAGAAATCCGTCATGGCCGCCGCGACCACGGCGATGCCAATAGTCGGCAAGTTCCAAGACCAGAGTAAGTGTTTTCTTCGGCGTCGGCAGTGCCGAGAAATTTCTAGATGTCGACAATATGTTTGCTGCAGTGGTGCGAAGCTAGGTGTTTATAGATGTTCGGTGTTCGTAGTTTGTATGCAGATAGTGAACATTTAGAGAATGGACTGTCAGTGTTAGGATCGGTGGCACCTTTTCTGCAGTTTTTTTTAACTACATGTAATCATTGTTATAGATTATAGAATACAGTAGCATTATTAATTAGATATTATTTGCAAAATGTTATTTGTGTAACTCTTCAGTTGAGATGGTGGACAACTATGCATGCAAAGGGCTTGACAAGCTGGAAGAGTCGGCCCCTGCCATTAAGAAACAGCCGAATGAGGTAGGTGACACTCGGCATTTAGCTTAACCTCCCGGTCAGTTCTTCATAGTAAGATTATCCAAGATGCATCTATGTACATAAATGCTGTACATTATTATATCCACAATGTTTTTATGAGGCTGGAATAGTGGTTCATTGTAGCAGATTCCTATTCCACATACTGGGTTGCCCACATTATATAGCACAGGCTGGCACCCAAGGACCCACTATTTATTACAACGTTGTACTTTACTCTTAATAAATATACTCCATTGAAGAGCACGTATTGATTTGGTTCATGTTTGTGTTACAGCTTGCTGAAGATACTAAGCGCATCTATAACAGCACCGTCACCGCCCCCATCGCTGAAGCGAAGAAATACGGAAGCGACAAGGTATTCACAAATTTCATCTGTGTTCCGGCCAAAAACCGATGGTCAGAAGTGTTTGCGAATGTGAGTTTTTTTTACCGTTTAACAGTGTTAGTAATTTTGCTTCCATTTATTTCCATGTTAAGGTGGCTGCTACAAGGAATTACAGCATTGAGAAGGTGGAAGGTGTCCGAATTTACAGGTATTTAATCAATATTATGCAAAATGTACAATTTGTGTGTAAATATGATGTAAACCATGGTATGAATTCACTGTTATATAGCCTATTGATATTGCGAATTTCAAAATTTTAATGTAGCTTCAATAACATCGTAACTATCTGTAGGAAAACTCTTTGACAAATGCATACCCTTCTTAGGAAAATATTCTCCTTTGAGAAAAGGTATTCATCAGTAGATGCAGCATGTGTACCCATCTACGATGCTATATAAAGTGTTGCGCTTAGTCACAGTCTAGTACACTCTAGTAACGCGCTGGGTTGTACATGTTGTTGGCAGCTATGATAAGCTGGATGCGGCCCTGCAAACCAAGTACGGCCACATGGTGATTGACGCGACGGACAAGGCTCTGACGATCGCCGAAAACTACGTCGACTACTACCTTCCTTCATCGGCGGCGGAGGGCGAGGAGAGCGAGGGAGAGACTCCGGGTGAGTGTTATCACTCGCTGGTGCGCGCGCGTCCGTATGTGACACAGGCGTGTTTGTGTCTCGCCAACTGTTATCGCACGCACGTAGCTGGCTGGATTGATGGGTCGCAAATAGTAAATACGCACTCTTAATCCATGCAGCGCCCGTGTGTGACAGGTGTGGGTCTCGCCAACTGTTATCGGATGCACGTAGCTTGCTGGATTGCTGGGTCACAAATACACACTCTTAATCCAGGCAGCGCGCGTATTGACTCAAGATAGACGGGCGTGACACGCGAGAAGTTATTACGACCGAAAGAAATTACGGCGGCCATTTTCTCCTTGAAAATGTACTGGAAACGACTCGAGCTTTCGCTAGCAAATTGTGCGGCTTTCGTTGTTTCGGATTGGAACGACGACGTCTGTAGTTATTGCTTCAAATATCCATGACAAAGGCTAATTTATATATTGAAATGATATATTATATATTTATATATATACAGTGAAACCCCGATTTTACGCACCCCGATTTAACGCGAATTCGAATATCGCGCATTGCGCATCTCAGCCGTTTTTCGGTGAGTTAAGCCGGCCTTAGGTCGGATTGCGATTGAATGCGATGCGACGCAACGCATTGCAACTCGTTGCACTGGTCAACATTTGGTCGGTTTATACGCTGATTTTCTTGAACCCCGATTTAGCGCGGCCCCGCTGTTTTTGCGATGACATTTTATGGACCTCAACGATCGCGTTATAACGGGGCTACACTGTATATATATACATATAAATTTAATATTGACGTAGTCTGTTAGCACACGAGAGTAAAGGAGGTTTTCGCGTTGCGATCGGCAGGCAAGGCGAACGAGAACGCCGGACAGTTGAACCGCGCCGTCAACCTGACGAACAAGACGCGGCGTCGCATGTACGGTCACAGCATGAGGCAGCTGCACAACCTGCAGCTTCGCACGCGCGATGCCGTCGATCAGCTAACCAACACCATTAACCTGGTAAGCAGTGCAGCATGGTGATTGCCGCGCGTTAATGTAGCAGGGAATGTATGGAGAGGTGGTGGGTAGGTCGCGCGTTAATGCAGCAGGGAACGTGTGGTGTCAGAGGTTGTGAGGTTTCACCGTTTCATGGGGTTTGTTGCGTGTAGTTACAGAGCAGTTACAGGGCGTTTGTAAAGCTGCCATGGGCTATTACAGATGTAAGGCTTTATGGTTAGGAATCGATTTTAACTGTAAACTGTAACTGTAACTCTGAGGTTGAACTGGAAGCACTAGTCTTGAGCCTTTTATCATAGACATTATAATGCATAATATCAGAAGTAGATAATATGTAACCCTATTATCCCCATTTATTATTTTTAACCCTATATTATTATTACTATTATTATTATTATTGTTATTAATAACCCTATTTCCTTATTATCTACTACTGATAATATGTTTATATATAAACGGCATTCCTGTGTTCATGCACTGGCCTGTTACACGTCGCTGTGTTTCGTGGACTTGACCAACTCTTATTCTCATTCTGTAGATAAGCTACGCAAAGACGCTGGACAGCAACGTCAGGGACAACCTGGCAGTCGCACAGGATGGCGTCTGGAAGGCCTGGGAGGACATCACGACTGACCACGATGCTGCAGAGGGAGAGGGAGATGCTAATGCCGCCCCAAAGGTACTGCCAGCATTTCGCGAACGTTGCGATACGAGTAGCCGTCATCGTGGATTCTTTTAATGATTTAGAGAAATATTTGGGTCAAAAGCCGCGTGCACGAACGATCGGATCGTTCGAAAACTGTAATGGTAGACGTGAGGAAATAATAGTTATTGATCACAGCCTCATTGCAACCGTACATGTCCGAAACCTTGGAACTTCTTCCTCCGATGTAACTGGAACTGTAAAGTATACCAGTAAAATTCCAGTACTAATCCAGCACTAGTCCAGTTAAACTTACATATATATTAATGGTAATTTATTTTACATAAATAATTGATTAATTTAATTAATTTAATAGTTGTAATTTATATGAATAATAATGGTGGTGATTTCAGACGGCTGAGCAGAAGGCTCTGCTGGTAGCGCGTAACGTGACGCGTCGTCTGCAGTCGACCTACGCGAGCGTGTCTGCCAGCATCGCAGACTCCGTACCCGCATCCGTTGCCAAGCAACTACAGGAAGCCCAGAAACGAATCGACGAACTGTACGGCCAATTCATGAAGGTAGGTTCGCCGCGCTCACGGCTGTCAAATGTGTGTGTGGATTATTGGGGTATTGTGTGTCAAATGTCACTAATAAAACTAATAAATAACTAATAAGGGAAATGATAATAAAAAAATATAAAATAATAATATAAAAGTAATAAGTCACTAATAAATGTGACTGTAACATTCACGGCTGTAATGTCAGTGAGTCATCTTACCCAATTTCAACTGCTCACGGCTGTCAAATGCATGCGTGGATTATTGGTGTATTGTGTGCTTAAGCCGTAAACCTGTGTTAGCAGTTTGTTAATTCTATAATATAAAGCAATGACGCCTGTCTTTAAAGGACATTTTCTGTTTCCCATTAATGGTTAAATTGGTTCTATTGAATAATTACTTGTCTATAAAGTCCTCTTTTTGTCATCTCCCTTGGGTGATTGTTACATACAGGGTTGACTGTATTTGAAATGGATTTTTTAATTAATTAATTTCCCAATTTGTACAGTGACAAATCTTGACAGTTGTAGAAATTTTACATTGGTATAGCCACCAATTGGTAATCCAATTAGTATCCCAATGGTATACCACCCGTTCTAACTGGTTAATTTTGTCAGAAACTTTCCCGTATATCGATTTGCCGTACTTGGGGAGTAAACTCTGGACATCATATCCCTGTTTGTTTGCTTATTTCTAGACAACCAACCTGTGGGACATGCCAGTGAATGTTCTTTCCTTGACCAAGGAAAAGGTTGGGTATCTTGAGGAGACAACTTTGATGGTCTACGAGTTTCTACTCAGTCTTCCCGTTGTTAATTGGATGGTGAGTAGCACCTTGCTTGTTATTTAATTATATTAATTAAATAATATTATTTATGTGCTTGTGATGATGTACTTGACTGCATATATAACACTAATGGTCTTTCGTTTAACCGAGAGTCAGATGGATTTCAGTGTGCTGCTCAGATGACATTCTGTGGGGAGTGGACTATTAGATAATGACTGTTTTTTGTCTGATAACAAGATATGCCCACACATTGCAGCAAGTTTAAACTGAATCATGAACAGTACCAGCGTGAAATGATGTAGGGGCCCCGTGGTTACTGGCCACTCCTAGCCTTCCCTGCATGTAAATCCCACTCCACCTACTCTTTTGGTGCATTCTCTGCCATTCTCTGCATCTCTAACGCGTTCTCTGATGTCTGCCTATAGGTCCTCCTGGAGAGACTAGATGGTGCAGACATTCAAAGATGGCCGAACTACGCTGACTAACCTGCTTTTTGTTTCTGCTAGGTTCCCAGTTCAGCCTCCGGCAATGGAAGCAGTGAGCAGCAGCAAACCGAGGAGTCGTCAGTTGCGACTGATAACTCGAAGTGACTAAGCTATCAGGCGCGCATGACGAACACAATAAATTTCAATTTCATCGCTAAATTCGACGTTGAGGACAGTAGCAACGCAGAGACGAGAGCTGCTGCTGCACCGTTTATTGCATGTAACTTTCAAATGCGCGCAGAACTATTCACTAAATAAGTCTGCCCTTACGTCATCGATGTGCTAGATTTTCTATCATGTTTGAAATTTTGATTCGCGATTAACACGTCTTGTTAATTAACTGGTTTATCATTTAAAAAAACAAATGGATACGTGTGTTACGCTAACGGTAATTCAGAACGGGCTACGAACAAAATAAAATCGTGTAGTTTTCCTGTTTCACATTGAATAATATTTTGTTATGGTTTCTATAATATTGTCGTTACGAATAAAAAGCACGATGTTTTCTATCCAGTACGATCTCGAGTTGTTTAGCAAGTTTACATTTTGTCTGCACGAACGGCGCGTAAAATATACAGACGGACACCACCGTGTTAAATTAACAACATCGCAGCACGATATCACGAGACAACGCGTCCATGTGGTTGGCAACCATGCACCGACACTCCCCACCTTGCTCCTCCGCCAGTTCCTCCCCGGTCACACGCGCACACACAAGGCTGACCAGTGTGTGGCTTTCTGCCCTCGCAGGTGCCAAACTTTGACGACGGCAGTGGCATGGAGTTCGATGAGAAGGACATCATTGCTGACCTTGACGCGAACCAAGGCTAAGGTTGCCGCGACAACTAACCACAACGACATAACGAGGTGACCAGACACCGCCACTACGAGGTTACCCCGGTTCGGCTAACGTACATGGCTTTTAATCCTGCTTTATGTCTGTCAGTGATGGCAGTGGTGGGGGTAGCTTACACGCAGACAGCTCCTCATAACGTTTCCATATCACAGTTGTGCTGTGCTACACAATTTGAGGAAAAACTGGCAATTATGTTATATATATATATATATATATATAATTACACACACACATGTACGTATATATTTCACAAGTGATTAAACTGTGGCAATCAGGAGAAAATGTGGGGATTTTTTTTCAAATAGCTGTAGCATATATTACAGTAATAGGCCACGAGGGGAAACACTTTATATACAGATAGCATATGCACGAAACGAAAACCCATAATTGCACTTTGATCCTTAGTAATGCAATGTGCTGCTTTGATGACTACCATATAAAAGTGTCATTGCACACTGATCAAATACTTTAAAAATGCCAACCTAAGCACTTATAGTATTACAGAGCACATCGTTCTGCATCTAGAAATTAAGAAGATATTTTAAAAATCTATATCACACAGTGTCACAATAAGTGGCCTCCCTGGATTAGCATGATAGTGAATAAACTCTAGCGCCCATGCCAACTACGTTTTTATTATATTAACCGTTTTAACATAAGCAAGTTGCTTAAAACGTTCTTATTCGCTATTCAATTTTACTATTTTATATTCTGTAGAGATAATAACAAATTGATATAACCGATATGTAGTGAAGTGTTGAAAATACAAAATTCAGAATGTATAATTGTATTGCTGGCATTTGTTGATCTAGTCAAATATCACATAAGATTATTGAAATGGGTCCCATTGATATTTTAATAGTTGTACTGTTTAAATATTGTGTACACATGGATAGAATAATTTTAGATGATTCAAAGAATAGGGATCTTGGCAAGTTTACTTGAACTGCTGTTATCAATACAAACCAAACAGTACTGCAGACATCTCTGCATGCACACACAGCCTTTCTCATCTGTTGACAGTTCTTTCCATAACCAGTAATATGTTGCAATTAGTTGGTGCTAAAAATTATTTGGCTTTTAATCTTTGACGTTGAAACCTTTTAGTCTGAATGTTTTTCTCAAAAACGTGTCGGCTTGTTTATGTTATTGTTTGCGGTACATACTCGTTATTGTAATTATTTGTATATTCAGAGTGAAAGGAATAAAAAGGTTAGACAAATACGGGCAAGAGTTCGAAGTTTTATATGAATGTTGATTTTTTATTCACACCGCACATAGATGGTTTGCTTGTTCACACAGCGCGTTTTTTTGACAATTTCCTTAATGACGACACTAATGATTTGACTCATGCTGCGATGCATGCTTAGTAAAAGTACGTGCATTCCAAAAAAACCGTTCGCCTTCGTATTTTTTTCTCTCCCACTCACGATTTCCGATTGTTCGGTGTGCAGCACCGACGTTGAGTACATTCACGTGTTAAAAGATTTTAACGTGCACTTTTAAGTCTGCGACCACGCCCGACATTACACGTGAATCTACGATCCAAAACCCTCGTACAACCTGCGCACACGTTCGCTCCTTCTTTTTAAGGAAATGCTTGTGGAAGCATCACATCAAAAAAAAAAAACCGGCACATGTCGAGAACTGCTAGAACTGTCGGCAGTGTGCCGAAAGAGGGGGGAGGTGGCGTAGGCCTGGTGCACATGTACGCGTCACACCGTAGCCCTGCAGAGAGAGGGAGAGCAGGCATCACCACTTTTCCCACGCCTTGGCTACGTCTCGATTAGCAGTTACCATAAGATTCCTAATATACAGAACTACATTCTACAGCAAGTATCATTTATCATCATCATCATCATCATCATCATCATCATCATCATCATCATCATCATCGCTGCATCCTAGTTACCTCATCCTCTGCAATCATAACAAAATTATAAATCTAGCAGCTTAAAAACAAACAAGAAACAAACTTTTCGCTCTTCGGTTTCATTTCGTGTTTTCACTTCGATCGAGCTTTTTTTGTTTGAATTAAAAACATCTTCCAGAATACATGTACAGGTCTAAGAACGTCGTGAGACGCTTACGGCCAGAGTTACATCTACGACTCACACTAACCTAGGTCTTGCCCCATAAAAGCAAGAAATGTGCCTGCTTCGATTCTCGCATCATGCAAAGCGCACTTTTAAAGACCGGACACCAAATCACATACACGTAATCAAGTATAGGGGGAGGGGGAAACGGGGTGGAGGGGGTAGCTTACGAAACCTTTGCTATGGCGAATGCGCTGCAGTAGTCGAACTAGAATAGATTTACATAAACACTTAATGGCGAGAGAGAAATTCACAACCGCATACTGACCCGACAAAGGGCTACTTCACATTTACCACTAGCCATGCAAATTCGAAAACAAACTCGCGAAAGGACGGGGGACAAGGGGGGGGGGGTTTACGTGAAATGCATTTCTGAATACAACATGCAATTGCTTCCACTTTCATTGCACTACGATAGTTGCCTAATAGCAGCAGACGGCATCGGCTGCCGACCGCGGCGCCATCTGATGGCGACTTAGATCAGTGAATGCTGCCCAACTTTTGCGCGAAGCAAAGGATTGACACGTGTGCCGACGGCAGAAATGCAATCAAGTTCTCCGCAGCAGTACACTCCGACTCGACGTTACAGATATAGAAAAGGAGAAAGCGACAGATCGACAGAACTACCTGAAAATGCATGCATCTATATACGGTAATATTCATACACCATCGTTTGCGCGCACAAACCTTTAAAATCTGGCTCCCTCATCATCGTCATTATTAATATTATTATTATTATTATAAATTGTATTTGCAATATTAACTCACAACGTTTCTCTGCTACAGAATGTGCTTTGGAAATCTAAAAACTTGTGCACAATCTCGTAGCAGAAACACAACCAAAAATTCAATAAAAAATACAGAAACATTCAACCTCATCCCTTCACACGGCGGCTTCACCATCTCTACACAACCCGATCCCTACCACCGCGTGGCAGTCTATACCCAAACCGGCGACACCTGGTGTAGAGGTGCTGAACTACTCTACACGCACAGACGCTGCCACGGCAACTACTAGCTCTCGGACGCACGCGTGGCATAACATAATACGCGATTACGACATCATGGCAACCGAGTAAACAACAGAGATGAGTCACGACGTCGACACCTACCGATCCTCATCGAAAAAAAGCCGACGGACGGCCGCCGGGCGCACGAGCGCTCGCGCCCCGGCAGGCCGCCCGCCCCGCGCGAGAGATAAAGCAGTAAAAACGGAGGGTTAACCGCTTCGCGAATACGTAATACGTGTTTCTATTCCCGCCAGGACAGCATGTGCACAAGTGGAAGCATCCGTGCGAAATTGCACCGGGCGCACGCGCGACGGCGGCGAGAGGGGAAGGAGGAGGGAGGAGGGGAGAGACGGAGATAGCGAGATTTCTTGCGCGAGCGAGAGAGAGAAGCCGCTGTCCCAGCGGATCGATGTCGCGCGTTTCAAAAAGACACCCAGTAAGCTATAGACGACAGTCGTTGAAGAAGCTGCGTTAATTAGCGGCGACGACGGCTAACGATCCCGTGCAGCCGGGCCGCAGCATCCCGCAGCCCTTGAACGAGCGAAACGACCTGCAACAGCGGAGAGACGGCGCGTGAACGAAGCGCGAGCGTGCGTACGTACGATCGTCGTGCGAGCGTGCGTACGTGCGATCGTCGTGCATTCTTGTATTACGATTGTATATCTTATATTATTATATATTATTGTTATTGTATTTCTTCTTATACATTCATGTTTTCGTCACAGGTGAAATTACAGGTGAACGATTTTTTTTTAGTGATGAGAGTAAATGTCGATCGAATACGGTTTACTGTGCATTTACAAGAGCATGCCATACATGTCTGCCTACTGCATGCTACTGTCTGCTATGTAACTTGCATTATGCAAGACGCAGCGTAAACGAAGTGCAAGCATCCAAAGGTGCGATCGTCGCTCGATCTCAAAAACTCGTCCGGTGAAATCACACATTATCGGAGTAAAGGAGTAAAGAGAAGCATGCCGTACCTGACTGTGGACTGTCAGACAATGGTCTACTCCTTATGCTTGTCCTTCTTCTTGCCTTTCAAGAACGAGGGTGTATGGAATCCCTTCTTCTTCTTCTTCTTCTCTTTAGAACCAGGTGTCTTGCTTGGCGAACTCTGCAGCAGAAAGAGTTACAGCCATCAAGTACACCCATTTGCTTTCAATATTACACACATTTCATTAAAATAAACAATATTAAGTGCTTCACGGTTACCATGTCAATTAAAAAAAGCTTTTGGTGAGCTGCGTTTTTGTCTTTTGAACAATGCCACGACCGATTACGATATTTTATCGTGTGGCACTTTTTCTCGCCACCGGATGGCAGCACCTACCTCTAATTCACCACTGTCAGTAGAACGCATCGTTGCAGTCTTATCCTCGGCATCTCCATTCACCTCTGGTTCACCTGCGAAACAGACAATAAGCAAACGTGAAACTTAATCCAAGCTCCAACTGTATGATTGACTGCCAATAACCGGCATGAGAGTAGTAATGCATGCGATACCAGATACAACAGCTCAAGGAATTTGAATACCATGATCCAGCTAATTTCTTATCACACAAATTATAAAAGCGATTACGAGAGTATTTTCGATAATGCACAACATGAGAGATATAGCTTTTCTGATAATACGCAATATCAGAGATAGATCGAGAGACAGTTATAAAACAGATGCAAGACAGCCTCGCAAGACGCCCTTACGGAATAAACGACGGTAATAGAAATTTTTATAACAATAACAAACGTCAAGACATAGAAACTCAGATTGATCATAGGTGATCGATCATATTGATCAAAGTGAAATCGAACATTTGCGAATAATCTTTCCAATGTTAGTTCCACTCAGTGGCATTATTGCGAGCTGCACAGGAGAAGTAGCCTTAGTAATGTTAGCGTGTAATAAATATTAAGAGCTTGGGTTATTGCTCTTTGCAGTAAGCAATATTGTGGCCACCTCGCAAGCTTTAACCACTCGAAACCGCAGCAATGCACATATCATTACCCTGTCACCGAACCACCAACACCTCGCTCACATTCATTACTGTTCAGTTGTTCACCAGCTTGCATGCGATGCCGGAACAAGTGAACAGCCCAGCGCAGGAAAGCAGATCGTTCGACAAGTCGATCCGAGCGTCCGTTCTAACACCCAGCACCAGGCAACCGGTTACGCACCGAGAGAGCTAGCGTGCACTTACTTACCTGTGCCACTCCGCTAGGACGCACGCACGCACACCTGCCCGCACACACGCCCCCTACCAACCACCAGCTCAGCCGAGAAATACTAGAAGCACGTAAGAGACCCGCGGTCACACCCCGCTCGCCAGATGGCGCCGATAACCAATTTCACCCAATGTGACAAGTGAACATGAAAACGCATGGCGCCATCTTCGATCGACCTATCCGCCATGCAGTTCTAGCCGATCGTCCGCAGCAAGAGGACGTTTTAAAAACACTGCTTAGCAACGACATGTTGCAAAGTCGACATTTTTGTGCACACGCGGCACAATCGAGTACAAACTGTGCAAGTTTGACGAACATAGCAACAACGTATGAAGTCACACGCCGAGTTGCACTCTTTCAAAAGCTGCATGGCTATCCTACTGTGGCAGATAAGTCGATTGCTCAAAGCCCAACTCTACGCAGACGCACGACACCCCGAACAACGACAACAACAACGCGGTCTACGCCACAGACGGCGCAGCAGCAGACGCCAACGCTGCCGGCGCCACCTATCCGCCAACTTACGTTTCTTCTGCCGGGGCTCTCTCGCCGACTTAGCGCGGCGGAACTGTGCGTCGCTCTGTTGCGGGGTCTCTGTTTAGCGCAAGGTACGTATACATGCGTGAGAAAACAGGGAGGAATCCATGCGGGAGGAAGACGGCACGCACGCGGCAACAACAACGAAACGCATGCGTAACTATACGGTAATCTTTGTCGCGTTATAAATCACGACTCGAGAAAAGAAGGGTTTCGTCTGCCATGCAAGCGAGCAAGAACGTCTAATATGAATTTAAAAAAAACAAGTGTCGAGAATAATATAATGTGTCGGCTAATATAATCGAGAACGAAAAATTAGCAATAAGTAGGCTAGTAATATATATAATGGCGCAATGCAGCCGGTGAGAATTGTTATAAGGGAAATAGTTTCCGGTTGCTGCACTCAACATGAGAACGAGTTTTGAAACATGCATGCATGCATCCATCACGAGCCTAGAACTCACTCAACGACATTCACGCACGCACGCATGCACTCACTCAACCACGCTCACACACGCATGCACTCACTCAACCACGCTCACACACGCACGCACGCACTCAACTACATTCATACACGTACGCACGCACGCACACATACATGTACGCACTCACGCAGACCGATCTCACATCACAATGAGGCAATTTCGCATTTCGACAGTGCATGGACGGTAACCCGTTTTGTGGACGTATCGTATCGTAGCACGGGAGTTACCGACTCACGGCTCGGCACTGTGCAATAACATAGACAGTCGCCTGCATACTTTAAGAAAAAGAACTCATTTTCAACGTTCCCAATAAAAATGTAACCTGCCATGTGGACGTTTTATTTTTAGATGTGCTACACACTCTGTAAAAGCTTCAAAGGTGATATATATAAATAAGGAGATCACGCAGCTCAGAATTCCAAATACGACCGTAAAGCCAAACCTGTGTACAAAGGTCAGTCGGTGAAATTGCCAAAAAAGTGTCCTTTATAGACAGGAATCCATATAAACTCGTCTGATTTTGCTTAATCAGTTCCTCTCAAATTTCGAAAAACATAAAACTCCCTCGATCCGCCCTGCAGTCGAAAAAATCGGCACACGCGCGAAATGCGTAATCGTCTCCCCCCTCCCCCTCTGGCGCGTCGCTACGGCGACGATACTCACTGCGTTCGTCCTGCCAGCGATCGGACGCCGGACGCTCACGCTGAAGGTCCGGCGGCGGCGTGACTGCGCGCTGCGGCGGAGCAACCGCGCGCGGCGGCGGCGACGGTGGCGCCCTCTCACGTCCCGCTACACGACGCGGGGGTGAAAGGCAAAACATGCATCGTCATGCAACCACGCACGCGAGATAGAGAGAGAGAGAGGTTCGTACAGACTGAACGAGGGCTCCCCCGTTACAGAGGTGCAAGCGGGGAAAGGAAAGTGGAGAGGGGACGAGGGAGGAGGAGGGGGAGAGGACGAAGGAGGAGGAGAGGGAGGGGCAGAGGAGGAGGAAGGGGAGGAGCAGAGGAGGGAGGAAAAGAAGGGGAGGGGCGAATGAGGGAGGCGAGGGGAGGAGGGGGAGGAGGGGAGGGGGCCGTTATGCCACAGTGGCTGTGCGAAATGTTTCCTCTCTTCACGAATTTGAGAAATCACTGGTTACGATTTTCCTCACGTAAAGCTCTATGGCTCTTAGCTCCACAAGCTCCATGTCGTTTATGGATGGACTGGGAAGATCCCGAAAGGGGGTTGTACAAAATGGAGCCAATTATGCCAGGTAAACTTCAACAATTCGGAGATGTACACAGCAAGCTACTAAAACGCAGCATGGCTGTGTTGGGATTGTCAACGGGAAACACTGCTGGACATTAGGGCATGTTGATTAGGCAATTAAGGCATGGCAGAGGATTCATGGGGATTCCACAAATATGCTTCAACTTTGAAGGCACCTCGGACGCGACACGAGTTAAAGGCCCAGGGAGAACCCTTATCTCTGTACGAACCTCTGTCAACTCACTATCAATAACATCCATGCATCTAAACTAAAATGTAAACGCAAAAACTCTACTGGCACACGCAAATCACACAACCGATCGCTAATACAATTATTAATGCTCGCAACGTTAAATAAAAACTTGTTAAAGCATCGCACGTCGTCACGCGATCTTGTCGGATAAATTTGTGCAAAATCAAGAACACGAGACACAGCAGCACTACACAGCCAGACTCACAGTACAGAGGAGATGCGTACCGCACGCGGACCTAGGCGATGGACGCGGAACCTTCCAACGCAGAGAGGCCACCACCACACACAGGTCACCACGATGCCGGGGGAAACCCACGCGTACTGAACTCATACACAGCGATACTCACTATACATCATACACGCACGCACGCACGCACGCACGCACGCACGCACACACACACGCACACACACGCAAACAGCGACGCCAGCTAACATACAACTCGGTGGCAGAGGTACACGAACAGAAGTCGTCTGTCGTACGTCGCCGTGGCAACCGATACTAAACACGGTAGCGGGTTCACGCGCTGAGCACAACGCTGAGACTACGCGAATGGGAATTCGTGAATGTGATGCACGTACCTCCACTTAGGAATGTCACGAAGTAAGGGAACGCTTTCTAGGCGCACATGAACGTGTGAATGTATTCTACATAAGGGAATGGCACAAACGCATTCTACCCAAATGCAGATCATACGCATATTCACCTACACACACACGGGAACGTCCAAGACACGGATTCGTTCTACGAGCACGTGAATGCGTTAATGCATTCTACGTGAACGCACGAATGGATCTACGTACGAGAATTCCACTGCATTCTACGCACGTGAACATCACGAATGGATCTACGTACGAGAATTCCACTGCATTCTACGCACGGAAACAGCACGAATGCATCTACGTACGGGAACTACATTACTGCATCTAGAAGCCAGCGACATCCGGGGTCTGGAAGCGGCGAGCGAAAAACAATGCAGAGATCGCTTCCGAGCGCATGCCGGTACCTACGCCCCGAGAAGCTGTCATTGTTTCTACATAATCAGACGTCTCAAAATTCACATATAAAGCATGGGATAACAGCACAAACACCCCCGCCCCCCGCCCCCTCACACACACACACAGCTACGACTCGTAGCTCACTAAGCTACGACCTCATTGCTCCTAAGCTAAGACCTCATAGCTCCTAAGCTACGACCTCGTAGGCTCCTAAAGCTACGACCTCATTGCTCCTAAGCTACGACGCTCATAGCCCTAAGCTACGACCTGCATAGTCCTAAGCTACGACCCTCGTTGCCCTAAGTACGACCATCATAGCTGCCTAAGCGCACGACCTCATAGCTCCTAAGCTACGACTCTCGTAGCTCCTAAGCTAAGCGACCTCGTACGGCTCTAGCTACGACTCTCGTAGCTCCTAATCACGACCTCATAGCTCCTAGAGCTACGAGCGCTCCCCTAGTTCCTATGTACGACCTCGTATCCC